TCACATTAAAAACTGTCTGTATTTGTTCCTTGGAACTTGAGATAAGCCTGAACATTAGTTCCTGAAGGTCTTTAATTTAAATAGAGGTTCTTAAATGGTCAAACATAAAACTTGGTTGAAATTTTCAAAATTTTCTGTTGTTCAGTATGAAGCCAAAACCCGACTGGAGAGATTTTCTGCGAGTGCATCCATAAGTTCAGCCGATCTATTTGATGATCCAAAGAAGCAGACTGGTAAGACATGACTGTCTCTTCTTTTCTTAGCGCTTGTATGTTGAGCCGCTCGGAGGAACATCTTAGTATGATTGTTTGTTTGTTTTTAATAAGATGCCGACTTGTGTGATTCTTTAAAGTTGGATTTAACAACCTGTTAACTGTGTGCTTTTCTGATACATCTTCCAAACTCCAGGTCATTTTGTCAGTAATAAGTAGACAAACGCGCCACAAATTCAGCTGTGTTCTTAATTTTATTGGGGACTTTGGGTCACTGATTAATGCCGGTTGCTAAAACTGTATCATAAGAGAGAAACTGCACATGTTGGATGCTTGTTCCAGGCTTAGTTAGGTGGTGGTCACATTGAGAAGACAATCTTGGCCTATCCTACTTGGTGTTACACTGTTGGGTGGAATTTTAGGTGGAATGGAGGTTTTCCACCTGTCTGATGACCCTTGAATCTCTGCTAGAATAATTACATAATAAGTATTGAACTGTGATACAGGTTGTAATATAAAATATTATGCCCCTGAAATTATGAAAAGAAGTCTGACTTTTGAGTTTATTGTGAAGCTGTGCTGAAATTGTGAGTAATTTATCTCACATACACTGAAGTTTTGCACTAGCTCCAGAGTGATTAACCATACCAACTGTGCATACTGGTCGAACTGGTCTCAACCCTTGTACCTCAGAGGAAATCTAAATACCGTAAATTCTTTCATATGATCATGTGAAAAAGCAGGTTTCACAAGACTGAAAACATTAAATACACACTTACTGCTTCCACAGGCATTAAGAAGGTAAGTAGCCTCCAGGTGCTGCTAATCAAAGGCATTTGAGTAATTGATTTTGAGCAAGTGTGAACACCTCTGTGACAGCAGACGTTTTGTTTTCCTGTTCTGGAGCATTCGGGGTGAAAGATATCAGCAATGATCTTAAAGAAGCAATTGTTGCTGCCAATCAATCTACGAAGGGTTATAAGGCCATTTTCAAACAATCTGAAGTCGCTCATTCTACAGTGAGGACAATTATTCACAAGTGGAAAACATTCAATATAATTACTGATCTTATCAGGAGTGGAAGTCACTAGAAGGTCAGACCATTTGTAGCATTTTATTTTATTTTTTTAGTTTCTCTGTTTCTGACTCTACAGGCCTCAGCATGTTGGCATGTTAAATGTTAATGGTCATGACTGAACAAGTATAGTTTGTTTGGAAGGATTGCCAGTTTAGGATTGCAAAGTTGCATCTGAACAAACCACGAGACTTCTGGAACAATGTCCTTCATACAGATAAAACCCAAAGTAGGGATGTTTGTTTGGGGGGGCTTGCAGTCACAGACCCCCATGAATTCCTCTGTATACCAAAGTATTGTAGAGTCGAATGAGAGGCCATCTGTCCAAGAGATGAATCTTAAACAAAACTGGGTCATGCAGCAGGACAATGATCATATCACAGCATTGCTTTAACGAGCAGGCCAAAATTTCTCCACAACAATGTGAGAGACTTGTAAGATCATACAGGAAATGATTGCTTCAAGTTATTGCTGCTAAATGTGCTCAGCAGGCTACTGTACTTTGTTTTACACAGGACTGCAGAGAGTCTCCTGAAAACTGTCTTTTTCACATGACTGTACATGCGAGTGGCTTCTCCACGAGTCCTCGAGCTTTTTGTCTCTCTGTCTGCTTGACTTTTTGCCTCGTGTCCACAGCGAGTTCGTACCGTCTGAGCAACGTACTCCCCAGTGCTCCCGACATGTCGCAGCTCAAACATGGAGTGCGCTCAGTTGCAGGAAAACTTTCAGTCATGGCCAGCGGCGTAGTTAGCTCAATTCAGGTCAGTCAGATATATTCCAGCGTATGATAGAAGTTCATCAATAATGACGACTTCTCATGGTGCTTTTTTAATTTCCTTTTTTCAGGATCACTACAGTTCCTAAGTGAACATGTCGGATTCACCGTCCATAGGTATCTTCTGTTTGCCAGTTAGATGACATTTCTAGTGGGTGCTCATCGTGGGAGAGTTGGGAGGAAAATATAAATCAATGCTATGAGCAAGTCTGCAGAATGTACTTGTATATTGTATATCTATATCTAGTTTTTTATTAGATGATGTATATACATAGTCGTAGTCTTTGGGATCAAATAAAGATGAGCAGAGCACAATATTTTTCGGTGGAATTATTTTCCCCCTGCAAACACCTTGAAGGAAGATATTTGTGTATATACAGCTATGAAGAATATTCAGCCTGCATTATGTTAAGTTTGCTTTGAGCTTCGGGGTTTTACATATATAGAAATGCTGTATGTAGCAGTCTGAGGAGCTAGGAGGGCTATCCGTTTGATTCCTTTACCTCCGTAAGTACTTAATTCAGTAACTCACTCATCACGTGCACTTTGTAGTGTTGTTTTTGTGCTTTTTGTTTTTTTGTGCCCCTTCATGCAGGGTTGAAAGTGTCCTTTCTGTCCCCAAAGTGCACTTACATTTGCTCTTCCAAAGGCAGGACCAAAAGCTGATTTAAAACAGAGGCCTTGGGGCAACAGATATACTTTTAGTAAGAGTACTGTAAGTTATGTAAACTGATGCGTCACTAGCACATAAGTGTCATTATCCTGTGAGTCGCAATTTGTTGTTGTTGTTGTTGTTTTTTGGAAGTCATGCAGAAATGCTTATAAAAAAGGAATGTGATATGTCAAAGTTTTAAGGAGTAAAAAAAAACAATTATTATAAGATATAAATATTTCTTTAAAACAACAAATGAGCTTCGTAAAAGCTCCAGTTGCATAGAATTAGATGCTATGAAGAATTCAGTCATCATTTTAAGAAGTAATTTTTGTTAGATTATTGTTTTTTTTAATGTTCTTGAAATAAATGCCTAATCATCTTGGTAAATCTCTAAATTGTACACTTAGTATGGCCCTTGGATCGCCTCTATAAAACTTGAAGGATTTCTTGATGTGCTGAGACCTTTTATGTAGCTTTCAGGCCTCGTTTCCACTTTAAAAGAACAATGTGAATGATCCCTTTAAAACCATCAGTTATTTTTTTCTGTTACTTTAACTGCCATCATAAAAGGTTTTAACTTTATATATGCTATTGTTTCTAAACACAGTAGAACTACAGGCAGTGCTTGAGTTAGATTTGATATCTGTTCAGAGTAAAGCTTGCGCTTTTGCCTTTTTTCTGTCCTTTATCATTGTGCAAAGTTAAAGGGACTAATTAAAGCCCGGACTCCGTCATAATAGTACAGACTAATTTCTGAGAAGCTGGAACATCCCAGGAGTTTGATTTGACATGTTCAAATATGAAACACTAAAGAGGTTCTTAAATGGTCAAATATATTTTTGTTTTTTGGGTTTTGTTTTTTAATTCCCATCAGTAAATGCCTTAGTCCGGAGATCTTTGATTTACACACCTTCTTGTTGTCTCAATCTAGGTATCTTTTGCACATGTGTTGGAAATTGTGTGTAACAGCTTTTGCTTGGTTGCACTCTAGTTTTTGCCCCTAAGTCGGCATATATGTTTTGTAAGATTGTGTCTCTGCCGTTCTATATTGTTACATGTAGGAGCTTGTATAAGCTGCATGGCCCTTGTAGCCCTCAAAATAAATATGTCAACACATCCTGAATATGAGATGGATTAAGAAACTTGTTTATTAAAACTCTAGTCCGCTGTGAACTGCTACATACAATCTTGTATAGGGGTTTTTCATTAATGAAAAAACTTACAGATAGATTTTGACCATTTTTGACACTCAAAATGTAAGTACGACTTTTGGGAATATGCCAAATAAATGGTTTGTGCTTAAACTTTTACTGTCTTCATTATTTGTGTAAATGTGTCTGTGGTCCGTGTGCCTGCAAACTTTTTTTTTTTTTTTTTTTTAGATTTAAGTGGGATTTGTTTTTTCTTTTTAAGACATCTTATTCACAGTACTGTGCAAAACTCTTAAACATCCAAGAACCCAGCCTGAATCTTTGAAAATGCCAATGACAGCACAGTTTGACAGGCATAAAATATTTTTGCATTAACAAGATGATTCTCAAAGAGCTATTGGCAGAAAACCTTTATCATCAGGGTGAGTAGTGTGCCCTAAAAAAACTGGAGGACCTGAGAGATGCATCTGGCCCTTCTGTTGTCCCACCCACTCAATTTTCCCTTACCTACTGTACTTCCGTATCTTTTGTAAATTTCAGTGTTTCATGCAATTGATGCATTCATTTCCAATTTTTCTCTATAAAAATATAAGACTAAAGGGTGGCTCAAGACCTTTGCGTGTTTTTATTGGGCAAATATCACTTCGTTAAAAGTCAATAGTATAAACCAGATAAAAGCAGCAGTTCTCGCTTTAAAAAGCTGAAACGTGATCTCGTGTTTTTGATAAATATCTTAAATAATCAGTGAAAATTTAAAATTATATCAGTAAAGTTCTCTTCCACATCGGACAGTCTATCAAATGTTGATCTACTTCTGCAGACATTAATCCACTTTGGCCAATTTCAGAGCAAATTCTGGCAACCGCTTACGTGGCCGGTTGTTGCGTTGATAGTCGTGCGGTCATTGTCGGAAATTTGATGCAAAATCAAACAACACTGCTAAACCTGGCGAAAAGTTGCTTAATTTAAAGGTTTCATCACGAACAAATAATCAGTTACTGGAGTAAAATGTTTCTCTTTAATTGTGTTTATAGCATTTAAACAACTAAAAGCGTTGGTGCTTTTAACTAGTTAAACATTACAGTATTAATATTTACGAGCTTACGAAGCACCCCTTGAAGGTCGCATTTTTCCAAGGAACAGGGGTAAAGAAAAAGTCCTTTTAAAGCGCCAACACACGCACACTCAGTCCGTTATTTTTTGCGTTTTTGAAGTTGATTTCTACATTATGAACTTCTCTCTAAAACAGGAGTCTTGTTTTTCTGTGCAAGGTAACAAACTCTGGTAAGCCCGTTTAACTCTCTAAATAGGCTATAAAAAGATAACCAGCGGTTTATTACTGCGCTAAAATGCCTACTGAACTAAAGCAGAGGAGGAAGACGCAGGCACAGAAGCAAAGCGATGAACCATCAGAAGGCTCAAACGGGAAAGAAGAAACGCAGAAAGTGAAGACTGAAGCAGGAGACGAGACAGGAGCGAACAAAACGTCCTCGGGCCTGGACATTAGAAGTGTAATGTGCTTGTTGTCGCTCGCAGCTTGCGGGGCTCTGAGCTGGTAAGTCCACATATTAGTATTAACGCTTTCTTCAGAACTACAGAGGACTTCTCTCTGAAGGTTTTCTGACTTTCAGGTTGGTGCTGCAGCAGAATGAGAAGTTTTCCCAGATTGAGGAAAAATACAGATCTCTACACGGAAAAACTTCCAGTCTGTTCGACATGGAGGAGGAGATTGTCAGAGTTTCCAAAAAGGTACGTTTGATTGACTGTGGAGCAGATCCTCAACGTGTTTGGACCATGAATCTGCAAATTTTGATGGGTGTGAATGTCAAATACTTAGCGATCTTTAAATATTTAGCCCGACGATAAAGAGTGTAATTCCCCTAGAATTAAATCGATTTTAAGTGTATTTTACATGAAATTACGATGTAATTATGTATCTATAAATATTTACTGCTAGATACAGTAGGATAAGGGTGTAATAATAATATGTTTTTAGGCAAGAAGAAATAATTATACTCTAAGTATCAGCGTAACTACTTTTAAGTAGTGCTAACTCCAGGTATTTCACAGGAAAGAAGAAATCATTCCGTTTTATGTCATTTTAAGTTGCGCCCAAGTAATTTTAAATAGCCCATAAGTAATTTTAAGTAGTTTATAGCTTGTATGTTAACATGTATTTTAGAGAAGATGTAATTAGAAGAAGTTATTATACTGTAAGTACTATGTGTAGGTACGTTTAAGTAGGACATCACTTCAGATATTTTACAGGAAATAATAACTTAGTTTTAAGTAATTTTAAGGTTTAAGGAAGTTATGCATTACTGAAAATTAGTTACAGTGTAATTATTTATTGGCTCCTGTAAAAACGTGAACTGTTGCCCCTTATTCTACTGTATCTAGTAGGTATTTGTAGGCAATTATTAATACTTTGGATAAAATAGATTTTATTTGAGCGGAACTGCTTTTTAACCACACACTGTATTATAAAACGCTACCTTGTTTTTAACTGGACTCTATGGCTACCAGATGTTCTTTATTTCAACATAGAATTTAGTTCTTTGGGCAAAACAAATAAACTTAACAATGATTGTGTTGTATTGGGTTGCTTAAGGAAAGCTGTGAGACAAATATTCCAAAATCTGGACACATAAAATCCAATGTGTCTGTTCACCTAAATTCCATTTGAGATTATTGCATTTCAGCCCATTTGAATTTAAGTTTAGCAAAGAAAAAGTGTCTTCTTATTATATTTTATTTATTTTATATATATATTTTGTTTAACCTCAAGGGAGGGGAAAACTATGGTTACATTTTTTGCAGAATTAAACTTGCTTAGTCTTTGCATTTCTTGGGACATTCTGGGGTTTTTTACTCACCTCAAACATAATGCAACTAACTTTAAGCATCAAGTCAGAAGGGATGCTTCTATACCTTTTGTAAATTCCTATGTTTTAAAAACACCTTAAAACCTTCCAATATTACCCAAAGTCAATGACAGGTAGAGCAGAAACAACTGCTTTGATTTTTCTTTGTTTAAAAGATGTCACCTGAATTTGAACCAGGACCTGTATTCTCATGTGATACTGATTTGAACCACAAGATGGTGCAGCAAGCCTTTATTTACCAAAGCAAGTCATTAGGGGTGCATTGTTATTTACAATTATGGGCACTTCTGAAAACATGGAAGTACACCCAATGTCAAATACTGCCCCCTGGTGTTGAAAGATTTAGATAACTACAGGGATAATTACAAAAAGTACCTTTAAGTTAAAGAAAGGGAGAAAAAAAACTATCTTCATGAATTTCATTCTTTTAAAGTTGAGTTATCACTGCACCACTTTGTGTATTATATGAATACTGCAGATAGAGCTCCCACAGAAACAGCACTCCTGTTTTGTGTTGCGGCTGCAGCTTGCCGCCTCTGAGGATGACCTACAGGATGCGCTCTCCACCATCTCCCTGGTGACAAAACTCCAGCAGGACATCTCCACCCTCCATGCTGCTGTCACGACAATACAGGCTGATGAAAGCTCTGCCTCCCGTGATCTGGAGAAGGTCAACGCCCACTTCCTCAACGTGACCGAGACGTGGCAAGAGAGTCTGGCAGCCATCACCACCGATCTCACCTCACTCAAGGCCGAGTCCAGGGACACTCATGCAGGAGCCACAGAGCAGGTGAATGAAGCCGAGCGGAGAATCCGTTCACTGGCGGAGAGGCTGGAGGAGCTCAAGGACAGCACAAAGAGGAACGCCCGAGCTCTGGAGCGCACAGAGGAGGACGACGTCAAGCGAGCGCAGGATCAGCTGGATTGGAACACCAAGCAGATCCACAAGCTGGAGGAGCAGATCGGCATCCTGAACAAGAGGGAGGCCGAGCTAAGCTCTCAGCTCCAGGAGCACATTCCCCGTGCGAGGGCCTGCGAAGAGCATCTGCCGGAGGTAGAAGAGGCGGTGCGCTCCATCCTCAAACTGGGTGGAGATCTGAGCGGGATGGAGAAGAGGCTGGAGGAGGTGACCTTGCAGGTGTTCGGCACCGAGGACAGCATGCTGAAAGCAACAAATGAAATCCTCGAGATCAGACAGGAGCTGGACACCCTGCAGGCTCAAAACAGCATCATGAAGATGAAAAATGAGTTGTCCGTGGTTAAAGAGGCAGTCCGTGAACTCACCATGGTGTTGAGGGAAAGTGGGGTTGACAGCCAAATGAACTCTGACGCTCTGGAGGAAGTGGAATGGAATGAGGAGGAGGAAGAGTGGGAGAAAGATGAAGAGGATAAATTGACCGAGCCTTTTCTTGATGACCTCACAGAATGATGTCATTGTTGTTGTTTTTTTGTCCACTAGGAAAAATGAGTAGGAATGTCCTGTTTAACTGTAGGCTGTAAACCCCTTAAGTTGAGTTTAGTAGTATCTCTGTAAACTTTGTACCTCACTTTAATGTCAGAAAACTAGCCTGATGTCAACACGAGCTCATTAAAACACTGCACTGTATTACAGAAGTCGGATACATTTACCTTTGTGCACCATTTTATTAAATATGCCCGACTACTCTCAAGGTATCCATATGCACTGATACAGTTTTAAAGCATTAAATGTGCCAGTCTTTGTTCAGTCTTCTCTGTTTTTCTCTATTTTATTCAAATGTAAACTGGATATGTTTTAGGTTTTAAAGTTTTGATTGAGAACAAAGCAGTTTCATATCACCACCTTTGATGCAAGGTCGTCATTGTTGACCATTTTCTTTGCACGTTTTTGTTGTTTAAACAGCAAAAGATCCCCTGATCAGTTGGAAACAAGCAATAATGAACAGGGTCAATAAAATTTCTAAGTGTTAGATTAGATTTTAAACAGAAGAAGCTTTGCAAATATCAAGACAATCCACATATTTGAATGTCACGTTTCCATCTTGTTCTTGTGTCACCTGTTGTGTCACTAAGCTTATTTAATAAAACAATCTTTTTTTTGTTTTTACAGAACAATGTCTGATTTGTTTTTTCCTCTCAGTGAATCGTCTTCTGTCCTGAGGTGTTTGTTTTTTGTTTTTTTTTTTCATTGGGGAAAAAACATGTCCTGTACCACCTGTTTCAGTGTGAGAGCGTCCAGCTGATGCTAGAGAGTCTCGGGGGTCAGCGTGGGGCTCTGAAGTCTCAGCTGGAGGGTTTGGAGCAGGATGTAGCTCGGCTGAAGGAGTGGGCTACTGGCTTGACTGAGAAGAGGGCTCAGCTTCAGAGCAGCTTGACTTCACTGAGAGAAGCTGTGGGTCAGATCGAAGCACGGACATCGACCATCACAAAGGACTTTACCAGCAAGGTTATTGATGATGTTATTGATGTCGCGCCTTTTCTTTTTCTAGAGTGCAAGTGTATGTGGGTAGAGACTAATCATATTGATAGCAACTCTGGTATCGGTATCTGATTAATACTAGAGCAATCGATATTGCCGTTCAGTATGTAGCCCACTGAATTCAGTTAAATACTTTTTTGGGGGTGGAGGGGTGAAAAACTATACCTCAGCTACACCACATTTACATTCAAGGTCTAAAAGTTTAAAAATAGATGAAAAGCTGATAGGGGTGCTTTATTGTACTATTTATTGTGGAAAGTAAAAATGTGATTTAGTGATCATTAAAATCTCTTCGGAAATTGCAGGTTGATGATAATTTCTCTCATAAACAATAACACACTCTGCTATATATTTCGCGTCCCTTTATAGGTTAAAAGTAGCAGTATTGGTATCAGCAGTACGGCCGCGTATTTATTTGGTTCAGTTGATACCCAAATTTGCAACAAAAAAGCATGTTCACCTCTGCAAAAGATTCTTTTTGCTTTTTTACAGATAACATAAAAACGAAAGACTAAATACTTACACAGTGCTGTGCAATAATGCAAAGCCCTTACAAAAAAAGCTTTCTTAGTGCTGTTTCAAACATTTCTTTTTTCCCTATGGCCGTCTAGGTGTCGTCAGTGAGGACTGATGTGCGCAGGATGGATGGCCTGCACTCTGAGGTGGAGTCTCTGCTGACTCAGGTGGGCGAGCTTGAAGACGAGGCTGCTCGGGTGGAGCACAGCATGGTGAAACGCATCGGGGATGTGCTGGCCAGCAGCATCGATCGAGTTTCCAACCTCCGATCCGCATCTGAACGCAATTCTCAGGCCATAGAGCAGCTCCGCAGACGCATCCCTGAACTCGCCAGCGCCGACGAGCAGATCTCGGAGCGCTTGGTGGAGCTAGAGAGCGGCCGGGCCCGCGTGATAAGAACGGTGACCTTTGCCAGCGACCTTAAACCAAAGGTGGCTAATATTAGGAGAGACTTTGGCGCGTTTGAGCCCCAGTTGTCAGACCTGACTCTTCGGATAGGACGATTAGCAAAAGATCTCATGGAAAGAGAGAGAGAGATCGCTGAGCTTCGACAGACATTAAGCAACCTCACTGCAGTCGAGGGAGATTTGAGCGTCACAAGTAACCAGGTCAACGAGATAGCTGATATAACAGACATTGGAGAGATACACAAGCCAACATGAAAAACAAACCGACATTGGCTTCAATTCATCGATTTAACCCGATTACCTGTCATACTGCTGTTTTAGAACAAGAACAAATACTGAAATAAATCTGTTTTTTATTACGAATAAAACAAATGTGAGCATCTGAACACCCTTGAAGCAATCACTATGATCTGAGGCTGTCAGCTTTTCTAAATGGCGTAATATGATCTGGACCTCGAGGATGAAGATTTGATCGCTTTATTGTTTTTCTTTGCCTGGCTCCATCTAAGTGTCAGTTTCATTACTTACCAAGTCAAGAATCCCCAGTAAAACAAATACAACTGCATGAAAAGTTTGCTGGTTTTGCCCCCCAGAAGAAGTTTCACTTACACAACTCTCTTTTTTACCTGCACAATTCTCTCATACATTTCCATCGGGTTTCATGCCATGTGCGATGGCTTCTCCTCCTCCTTCTATAATCTCCCTGATATTCAGTATGGGCCACATAATACTAGCTTTAGGGGATACAGCAATACAGTAGCTTGACATTTTGAGGAATGTGCCTATTCGCGTTCCAGCAGAGCTCTGCAGAATCTCTCTCGTGTCTCCAGGGTAAATGTGAATTACTGAGTTATAGCTCCAGTTATTGGTTCTGACCAGCCCTGTCACCGATTGCAAGTAGCCACGACAATAAAACCACCTGCCACATATTGTTTGGATCCCCCTCTTCAAACCAGAAAAGCTCTGACTTGTCAAAGCTGGACAAAGGACCTCAGTGGGACCCCTGGCTCCAGTGACCTGCAGGGTGCTTGTTCGGTTTATCTCACAGATGCTCGATCGGTTAAAGTTCTGTGGAAATCGGAGGCCTTAGAAGCTGTGTCATTCTTCTCTATTCATTTATTGCGCTTCCTCTTTATAGTTTTAACTGTCAATTAACTAATAATTACTGCAGTTTTTAATCCTCTCCAGTCCAGCCTCCCATTAATATAACGCTTAAATTACACCAGTCTAAACACCATTACTACATCACACACACCATACATTTTCTATAGAAACCAAGTGTAACGAAAAGCAGCGGTTAATTGTTTTCCCTTTTTCTTTCTACCTTTTTTATGGTGCCATTATATTTCTCCACTTGCGTTCATGTTTAAGCATGCTCTTTCATTGTTTTCCAGTGTTGAAGCTACCTTTTAAGAGTCAAAGTGCTATATTATGATTTTGGACTTGCTTCACACCCCCTCGGTTCATCCTTTGAAATAAGCCATTTTAGATCCCTTTCTTTTTCCCTTTAACCCACCAACATCGGGTTTAAGTGGATTAGCTTCCCTAACTGACATGATGCAAAGCCAGTAAATAAGGAAAGGATTGAACTGTTAATCAACCACTTTCATGGCTTATTCTGTAGTAGTATAAGTGATGCAGATATCCCAATGTACAAGAATCTGGTGTGAGTACTGCACTACTAGTGTGTCTTATGAATGCCAGAAAAAAAGGTTTTCCAACTTAAACAGATTTTATAAAGCGATGATCTTTCAGTGCCAATGGTTTTAATGTTGTGTCTGATTAGTTTGGTAGTCCATGACCCTTTTTTAATGTTTGGAACATTGAAAACGGCTGTGCTGCCTGTTTTCATGTTCCCCGTGTTTACACTGTGCTCAGAGTGATGTCAGTAATATCTTACTGACATCACTCCCCACGCATCAGTTCTTCTTACAGCTTTTACTTAACACATTGTCCTAAATCGTCTTACCTTTACCATTAAAGTGCTACAGACTTGGAAATCCAGTTTGTCACTAGAGATATGCAGTACATGAGTGTTTCCTGATGTACTCTCTAGATTACTTAAATAGTTTATTGATGTCCAAATGCCTTAAACCAAAACAGATAGCTTTGAAGTATTCCAGTGAAGTGGTCACCCAACCACAGCTTTAGCTGTTGCTGAAGGAAGCGCCTTCCTATGGAACACTTGGTAAAGAGGCAAAACTATTTTTCACTTGTATAAAGAGTTCAGCATCTGGTATTTATTCATTAAGAGGTGAAAAATCGTTGCCTGGACTCCACAGCCTTGTCACATATTATTAATAACACGATGCTGACGTTATAAATAATGTAGCGAAGACGGATTACGATTTTTCCCCTCTCCCCATCAGCCACTGGGTAAATCACGTCTCTTATTTTTTCATTCCCGCCCTTCCTGTCAATACATCACCCATGATGTAATGAACCAAAGTAAGAAATCATTTTATCACGTAGTTCACACCCAGAAATAATTCTTCACAATTTTGAGTTAACAAGGTTTTTTTTTAATTCTTAAAAAACAAAAAAACAAAGTGAATAAAAACGGGGTGCTCAAAATGAGCTCATTGATCCACTAGAAAGATTAAAAAACAGCCAACTGGCACAAAAACGGTGAGTTTGAAAAAAATAATAATAGAAAAGTACAGTGCAGAATGAGTGTGGATTCACAGATCAGCAGTCCGTCTCTGCCCCTCTCACTCCTGCTCTAACTGTCCTCATGTTTGTTCTTTTCTAGTGTGCAACTTCATGGCATCAACCATCAACTCTGAAAAACCTTTCTTTTTAAAACTAGGAAAAGCTTGTCACCCATTTGGATTCATTATTGACCCTGTTGTTGCATGTTTTGACATCCCGATGGGACATTGCTAACTACTCCTCCGTGATGTCGGGCTGTTCAGACAGGCCTGCCAGTGACTCTGTGGTCTTCTGCAGGGCTTCCTGCAGGGCAGCGATAGCCTGATCGTGGCCTTCTAGCTTGGCTGCTTTGCCTTCCAAACCAGCTACCATGTCTCTTAAGTTCTCCAGCTGCTCGGGCTTCATCCTGCTGCTGTTGTCCTCCAAAGCAGCGAGCCTCCTCTCCAGGTCCTCCACCTGCTCACCCAGGCTGGAGTCTGCTGAAGGTAACTCTGTCTTGTCTCCTTCTAGAGCAGCTATACTAGACTGGAGATCCTCCAAACTGCTCTTCACTGCCTCCAGTTCTTGCTCCAAATTAGTTTTAATGTCCTCCACAGCTTTCCCCTGTGCAGCCAGACTGCTCTCATGTGCATCATGCTTGTCAAACAGTGATTGTACTTTGGAGTTGATGTCTGACACTGAGGCAGACATTGAAACTACGTTCTCCTCCGATGCTTTGACTCTGGCTGCAAGGTCATCAGTTCTCAGCAGGGCCTGAGTAGCTGCTTCATTCACTTGCTCGTCCACATTACGAACAGCATCGGCAAACTGCTCCATGCCACTCTCTAGCATCACAGCCTTGTCCTTCAGAGCCTGAAGCGAAGCCTCGGTTGAAGACAGAGACTCCCTCAGATTCGCCGTGGTGTCTTGCATTACTTTCCTCAGTGTCTCAATTTCCTGAGACACTGAGGCCACCTCTCGGTTGCGAGTCTGGAGCTCTTCCCTCACTGCACTGATCTGCTGTCTGAGGGAATCGCCTGACGAGTCAGCTGCATCTTTGGCTGTTTTAATTTCAG